TCTTAGGGATCAACTGCTGAGACGGGGTGGCTAACTTGTGGCCCTTCTAGAGGTTATTAGACCCCTGTTCCCATCAGCCCCAGCAAGTCAGGAATGATGGGAATTGTAGTCCAACAATACCTGGTGGTCCACAAGTTCCCCATCCTTGGGGCAACGGTCAGGCACTTGCTGAAGCAGAGAAGAAGTGGGGCACAAATGTTTAACAATAACAACGCCAGCGCCGAATTCAGAGGCAGTTTAGGAAGTTGCCTTATGCTGAACCCATCTAGCTCAGTATTGTCTACACAATGTGGCTTTGGGCCCTCGTATTTACAGGACCGCCTCTCCTGGTATGCCCCGCATAGGACCTTAAGGTCCATGAATAATCTTAACTTAGAGGTTCCGGGCCCTAAGGAAGTCAGATTATCCTGGGCCAGGGCCTTCTCAGTGATGGCTCCGACCTGGTGGAATGCTCTGTCCCATGAGACCAGGGCCCTGCAGGATTTAACTTCCCACCGCAGGGCCTGTAAGACAGAGCTATTCCACCTGGCTTTCAATTTGAATTTAGCCTGATCTTTTATTCCCCTTCCTTCCCTCCCCCTACCCTTTTTATGAAGATTACCCGCTCTGGGATCCCACAGCTAATTCTCCCCTGGTCTCCTCGCTGGCCCAAATAGGACTAATTTAGCCAGCTAACCTCAGTGATCATCCAATGTTTATTGGATGGATTTTCCCCCTAAATTGATTTTTGAATTCTGAATTTATTGTTATTCACGTTTTATACTGTATTTTATGCTGTTTTTTGTTGCATCAATTAAGTGTTTTAAATTTGTTGTTAGCCGCCCTGAGTCCGGTTTTCTGAACTGGGAAGGGCGGGGTGTAAATAAAAAATTATTATTATTATTATTATTATTATTATTATTACACAGACTGGCAGCAGCTCTCCATGGTTTCAGGCAGGGGGCACTCCCAGCCCTCCCCGGAGGATTCTGGGGACTGGAGAGCCAGTGTGGTGTAGTGGTTAAGAGCGGTAGTCTTGTAATCTGGTGAACCGGGTTCGCTTCCGCGCTCCTCCACATGCAGCTGCTGGGTGACCTTGGGCTAGTCACACTTCTCTGAAGTCTCTCAGCCCCACTCACCTCACAGAGTGTTTGTTGTGGGGAGGAAGGGAAAGGAGAATGTTAGCCGCATTGAGACTCCTTCGGGTAATGATAAAGCGGGATATCAAATCCAAACTCCTCCTCTTCTTCTTCCTGCATGCAAGGCAGAGGCTCACCCGCTCAGCTACTGCCCCTCCCACAAACGTTCCTTCTCTGTAAATGCAGCTGTTTTGGAGCGTATCTTTGCCAAGGCAGCTCCAGATTAAACTCTCCTGCGTACATTTTTGTGTGGAAGGGGGTGACTATGCCTGGCTTTTTACACGCTGACCCATCTTCTCCGCAGCCCCCAGTACCTCATGGATATGAATTCCTGGATAGAGGAGCTGCCAAAGCCCCAGAGCTGCCGAGCCACACAGCACCGCAACACCTGCTCCCAGCTCCAGTCATTCATCTCTTCCTTTGCTGTCAGCGGCTGCCGGGTCTAAGCCACAGAAGGGGCTTCACGTCTCCAGCGCTCCCCCCCCCCCATTTAGATGCACCAGAACTCTGGCCTCTGCAGTGGAATCACTTCAGAGTACGATATATCAGCTCTGCTACATTTGGGAGGGGGCCTCGCTCACCCTGCTGATGGGGGACCCCTGCGCCTGAGAGTGTGCCTGGCCTTTTTAATGCTTTTAACGAGATTCTGGCTGCTAATTTCTAGGGAGCCCACAGAGCCACTTAGAAATAACAGGAATATGTGGCCAAAATGGCGGACGGTTGCCTACAATGTGTGTCTTTAAAATCAGTGTCTGTTCCATAGGAACAGGAAAATGTATACCCAGAGCATATTTGAACAAAACGGGCATTCTCACCCAAATTTAAAACTACAGTTTCCCTTTGCATAACATCAGCTACGTTTACAAGTTCAAACAGCAACTTCCATCTGCGAATGAAGATGAGGGGTGGTCGTTGGCCGAATGAGAAGTACCGGCCTAGTCCTGTCCAAAAAGCTCTCGGCATTTACCATTTTTATTTTAGGTTTCGCCTGCAGCACCTTACAACATATTTGCACTATTCAAATGGCAATTTTATTCATTAAAAGAAAGCGTTGCTTCCTGGTTTTGTTTCCTCTGCCTGTTAATTCTTTCTGCTGCCATCTTGAGTCTTGAGGGGTCGCCAGGCTCAGGAATAATGGAGTGTCCGGCTGAGGTGGACAAGGAGGGGAAACGGGAGGACGACATGTGGCAGGCTGAGCTTCAGGAGGTGGGTGGTGCTTCACCTTCCCAGGATACAGATGCCCCGGCTGGAGAAGCAGGACTCGCATCTCTCTTCCCGCAGACTGACCCCCAGACTCATAAGAAACTGATAACACAAGATTATGTTTTGCCTGTCATTGCACCCAATTTATCCATGGCTAGTCGTACTCAGAGTGGGTCCATTTAAGTTAATAGACGCAATTAATTTTGGCCAACCCGTTTGTTCAAACACAGAGGGAAACCTCTTTGGTTATGCTAAATCAAGGTGCTTCACTAGTAAGCCAAAGATATTAGGTAGACAGAGGAACAGGTATCATAGCATTGTAGAGCTGGAGGGACTCCAAGGGTCAACTCTATGATACTAGGCTTAAGAACCATATCATAGCTGTCAACTTAAGGGAAATTCCCTTATTCCAAATAGGATTCCTCGCAAGAAAAGGGAAAAGTTGACAGCTATGAACCATACTGAACATGGGTTTAAAAACAATACAAATAAAAAGCCAAGGTGGATGACAAAACTGTCATCAGTAGTTTCTGGAAAGTGCAGAGTGTCTCTGCCTGTCATCTCTCAGTAGGGATGCTGTTCCACAAAACCTGAAACTGATGCACTGAAAGCCCTACTCTCGAATAGTTGTACATAGCTTGGGCTTGGCTTTTTGGGAGGATCGCAAGGAAAGCCTTTCCTGCAGAGCACAGTAACCCACTGGGTGCCTAAGGAGTAAAGGGGTCTCTAGGGTAGCCTGACCTCAAGCTCTCTGGGGCCCAAACCTTGCACTTTGCCCTGGAACAGACTGGCAGCTCAGTAAGCACTAGACTAGAGGGATGATGGCAGCTGTCATCCAACTATGGATGGAGGGCACCACATTGGCCCATAGCTGTCAACTTTTCCCTTTTCTTGTGAGGAATCATATTCGGAATAAGGGAATTTCCCTTAAAAAAAGGAAAACATTGACAGCTATGCATTGGCCAGCCCCCTCTCCCACTAGTTCTTCCACAGTATCTAGGGTTGTCATATTTCAAGTGAAAATCTGGACACAAAACTTGTTAAGAACTTTTTTGGCAAAGTTGTTCAGCTTTTAAGCTAAGTTTTAGGAATTACACAAAAAAATCAACACTTCCAATATAGGCTTCCATATGCCCAGTTTTTCTGGACATTTTAAGCAACTTTCGAAAATTGCCCGGACGCCACTTTTGATGGTCAGATCCTGGCTATGTCTGGGAGATTTCGGGTGTATGGCAGCCCCAAGAGTATTTTCCTCCTCAGAGAAGCTGGATTCAGATATGTCGAAGTCAACCAAACCCACCTGAAAGAGCAACTTCTCCATGGATCTTCTCTTGGTGCAGAATCCACCCCCCACCATCCTGTGCAATCCTATACATGTTGATTCATAAGGCAGTTCCGCTGTGTGCAATGGGTCAGGCAAGCGTGCCTAGGACCCACAACTTCATAAAGTTGCAGTTGCTTAGCATTCAGAAACTTTCCAATGCTTTATAACGGAAACAGCTTTATTACTCGCCTTACCCTCTTCCCCCAATTGCAACTAAGAGTGGAAGCTTGGGGTGTGAACGTGATCCGGGCGGGATGCACGTTCACAGCCCGCAGAGGTACGTCTGCGGACGTTCAGGTTGTGATTAGGCATTTCTGCACATGTGCAAAGCGCGATTTAGCGCTTCTGCGCATGCACAACTGCCGAAACCCGGAAGTAACCTGTTCCGGTACTTCTGGGTTTTGGCGCGTCCATAACCCAAAAAAATGCAACCTGAAGCGTCTGTAACCCGAGGTATGACTCTGTGGGCTGGTGTGGCCATCCAGATGTTCGGCTGCATTTCCCATCAGCCCCAGCCTGCATGGCCAAACACCAGGGGTGATGGAATCTGTGCCACAACAACACCTGGAGTGCCACGGGTTGCAGTTCTTCCTCTAAATTTTATGGTTGCATCACAAAATAGAGCAATCAAGTCTCTAGTTCTCTTGATGCCATAGAAAAATCCTACTTAAAGAAACAAACAAAAAGGTAAAGGTAAAAGGTAAAGGACCCCTGGATGGTTAAGTCCAGTCAAAGGCAGCTATGGGGTGCAGAACTCATATCGCTTTTCAGGCCGAGGGAGCCGGCGTTTGTCCACAGATAGCTTTCCGGGTCATGGGGCCACCATGACTAAACCACTTCTGGCGTAACGGGACACCATGACGGAAGCCAGAGCACACAGAAACGCCGTTTACCTTCCCACCGGAGCGGTACCTATTTATCTACTTGCACTTGCGTGTTTTCAAACTGCTAGGTTGGCAGGAGCTGACAGAGCAACAGGAGCTCACCACCGTAAAAAGAATTTGAACCATTAACCTTCTGATCGGCAAGCCCAAGAGGCTCCGTGGTTTAGACCACAGCGCCACAAAATAGATGTACAGGGCCCTGGGTTCACTTCAGAAAGGAATCCTGGTTTGTGACCTGGGCTCCGTCAGTAGAGCAAAAGATTCTTAATCTCAGGGTTGTGGGTTCGAGCCCCACGTTGGTCAAAAGATTCCTGCATTGCAGGGGGTTGGACTAGATGACCCTGGGTCCCCATTCCAACTCTACAATTCTAGCAGTTCAATCCATCCATGCGCTCAGACTGCAGATTGGTCGGGCTGGACTTGCCAGTCGTCGGGCTCGGCTTCAGCGAGTCACATGATGGAAGCGGAAAACAAAGGAAAAGCCTCCCGCATAAGCAGCAAGGAGAAGCCCGAGAGGCATTTAATGCAAGTCCCCCCCAACCCCCCTTATTTTTCTTTTTTTTTTTTTTAAAAAAGGCTTAATTCGAATCCTTTCCACTGACGATCAGTTTTGCATGCTGAAGATCAGTCGCAGCGCCATCCTAGGCAGGTCTACTCTGGAGCAAGCTCCGTGGGGTTTGCTCCCAGGTAAGTGTGCGCAGGATTGCAGCCTTAATGCGGATTAGCGGCCCCCTTCGTGCAGGCTGGACCATTGCCCGGCCGTGTTTGCGGTGGGAAAGGTAAATTTAAAGGTCGTGCAATAAGGCGTATGCGCATGAAATAAAAATAAACCAACGCGTGCCGCTGGGTGAAGAAGGGATCCTAACCCGCGTTTGAGATCCTGGGCTTTTTTCGTTTTGTGTGTTTGCCCTCGGGCAGCCGAAAGGGTCAGACTTTCCTGGGCTTTGACATTGGGGAGGCGCCTTGGAAATTGCTGGGCTTGCAGGAAAGCGGAGAAGCTGCAAGATCTAGTTAGCTGCTAAATCGGTTCAGAGCAATCTCTTCTCTCTCCCGGCCAGCAAAGAGCCTCTCTCCGCTATTGTTTCGCCCCAATTGGTGCAAGCCTCGTAGTTTTCCTGCATGACCTTTGAAGTGCTATATTCAGGCCTAAGGCACCCATTCTCTCTCTGTCTCTCTTAATATAGGTGCTGGCTGAGCACTTTTATTGTTATTGCCAAAGCCTAACCAGGGATATCATTGAGGGCTTTATTTATTACATTTATATTCTGCTTTTATCTTCCAAGGATCTCAGAAGATCCAATGATCTCCTCCTCTCCGTTCCAGCCTCACAACAACCCTGTGAGGGAAGTTAGGCTGAGAGACGCCAACGGGCCATCTTCATGGCTGCTGAGTGGGGATTCGAACCCTGCTCTCGCAGATCGTAGTCCGACACTCTAACTCGGGGTTTGCCAAACTGGGGTCTCCAGCTGTTTTGGGATTACAGTTCCCATCATCATCATAGCTGGTCCTGCTAGCTAGGGGTTGTAGGAGTTGTAGTCCAAAAACAGCTGGGGACTCAAGTTTGGGAAAGCCTGCTCTAACCATTACGCCACACTGGCCAGTGCCAGCCCTACTGTATTCCTTCGTTGCAGGGGCTTGGACTGGATCACTCTATGTGGGGCTGCCCTTGAGACTGACCCAGAAACTCCAGCGGGTGCAGAATGTCGGGGTGGGACTTCTTACAGGGTCCTCGCTGCGGGATCACATTCACCCAGTGCTATACCAGCTGCACTGGCTCCCGGTGGAGTAGAGGATCAGGTTTAAGGTGCTGGTTTTAACCTTTAAAGCCCTATACAGCCTACGACTCCTTGTACCTACGGGACTGCCTCTCCTGGTATGGACCACGGAGGACCTTACGGTCTTCAAATAAAAACATCTTGGAGGTCCCGGGCCACAGGGAGGTTAGGCTGGCCTCAACCAGAGCCAGGGCTTTTTCGGCCGTGGCCCCGATCTGGTGGAACGCTCTGTCACAAGAGACCAGGGCCCTGCGGGACTTGACATCTTTCCGCAGGGCCTGCAAGACAGAGCTGTTCCACCAGGCCTTTGGCCAATCCTCACAGACCTCTAGCCCAATGGTTGCCATGAATTTGATTATGAATTAATTTTAGAATGTACAGTATTTAAATTAATTGATTGTGATTTTATGTAAAGTGTATTATTTTTACTGTTGTCAGGCACTCTGAGCCTGGCTTCGGCTGGGGACGGTGGGATATAAATAAATTATAAATAAATTATTACTATTATTATTATTATTATTATTATTATTATTATTATTATGACCCTTGGTTCCCTTTCAACTCTACAATTCTAGAATTATGCTCAGAGGAGCCCCATTGAGGTTAATAGACGTGACTGACTCCTGTTCATTAATTTCAATGAGTGGCCTCTGAGTCACGTTCACATTTGCTGTGCTGAGATTCTACTTTAAACAGTCTTGGTTTCCCTCCTAAATTCCTGTGGGCTACAATTTCCAGGGTACACTGTGGAGAAGAGCTAGCTAGCTGCTGAAATGTCTCTGCAAAGGCTGGTAGCTTTTGAAGGATAGTTTGCAAGGCAGGGTTTATTCACCCCCTTGGCATTTAGAGAATGGCTGCAGCTCAGTCCAAACCCTGGCAGCTCTGGGTATACCAAGCTGAGAATGTCGCCTGCCTGAAACTCGCAAGAGCCTCTGTCGGTCAGTGTAAACAACACTGAGCTAGTTGCGACTTTGTATAATACAGTTTCCTATCTAGGAAAGATTCTCCGCTTGAGACCCTGGGAAAACCGCTGCGAGAAAGAGACCCCAGCCCTGGGCTAGATGAAATGGGGGTCTGATTTGATACCAAATGCCATGCCAGCCTCAGTTACTTATCTGTAAAATTGAAATAATTGCGATTCATGTTGCAGGGTCGTTGTTGTGCGGGCTGCATATAGTACAGAGCCTTTTATCCCTGTGGGTTAAACCACAGAACCTAGGACCTGCCGATCAGAAGGTCGCGGTTTGAATCCCCGTGACGGGATGAGCTCCCGTTGCTCGGTCCCTGCTCCTGCCAACCTAGGCAGTTCAAAAGCACGTCAAAGTGCAAGTAGATAAATAGGTACCGCTCCGGCGGGAAGGTAAACAGCGTTTCCGTGCGCTGCCTCTGGTTTGCCAGAAGCTGCTTAGTCATGCTGGCCACATGATCCGGAAGCTGTACGCCGGCTCTCTCGGTCAATAAAGCGAGATGAGCGCCGCAACCCCAGAATCGGTCACGACTGGACCTAATGGTCAGGGGTCCCTTTACCTTTACCTCTTCATTGCAACTATTTTTATATACCGAATTATTTTCAGATGTTGACATTGTTTGTTATATTTGGAACCATTTTTATATTTATGATTGTAACTCTTTTGTTTTACACAGGTACGTGTATATATATATATATATATATATAAAATCATTGTAACCTGCCTCTGAGCCTTGTGTTGAAAGGCAGGTAATAAAAATTCTGTGGATTTTTAGCTCTTCTGTAGCAAAAGTGGACAGGTGCTGTTGTTTTGTTTCAAAGAAGACTTTTGAGGATGTGGCTGTGTGAGTTTCATGGAAGTGTGATGAAGATCTGATGCACTCAGACAGATGAATTCTATCCTGGGTGGTCCTGCAAGAAAATCACAGGAATATGGCCTCTCTGGGTAAGGATTCCTTTCTGAATTTTGTGTTAGACGGCTGAGAGGCTTAGAAGCCTAGGGCTGTCTTCGGCAGTTCCAGTATTCATGGAAGATTTGTGCTTGGAGATTACAGGGCTGATTTTACCCCTGCCCTTTGTGTGAATGAAAATGTGCTTTGAATAAGACTGGTTAGTCCAGATTTCAGAAAGCAAAGGACATTTTATTGAAATTAGGGGTCGTCGTCCCCCGCCCTACTGCAAATATTTTGAAATAATGAATGTCCCTTGGTGGCAGATCTCATTTTTTAACTGGTTGGAACACAGGGGTGGTGGAATCACATAATTGCAAACATAAGAAAAGTATTATTATTATTACAGTGGAACTTTGGTTTTCAAGCGTCTCAAAAGCCGAACGATTTGGCGATTTGGAACCTGAACGCCAAATGCTTGCGTTTTCAAACATGCCTCAGAAGTCGAATGGCTTCCAAGGCATGTTTCTCCATTTTTTCAATAGATTCTGCGGACCGCCCATTGCGCCTCGGTTGTCAAACGTTTTGGAAGTTGAACATTCTTCCAGAACAGATTATGTTCAACAACCGAGGTTCCACTGTTTTATTATTTATTGAACTTATATACCAGCCGGTACCCGCACGTCTCAGAGCTGTTCACAGAATAAAAGTACAAAAAATGAATATCAATAGCATCAAAAACCCCACAAACAATACCCCAGCCCAATACATCATCATCATCATTATTATTATTATTATTATTATTATTATTATTATTATTATTAAAATCTACCAACTACATTCCTCATGCTTAACAGTTTTGGACATTACTAATTCCAGACATCTCAGACCCTTCTCCTCTTCTCTTTTATTAGAATTTCCTAACGTGACCATAAAGCTGGAAGACGAAGATGAGATGCTATGGCTCCCGAATAACCAGGGATCAGAGGATATTAAGAATTCCCCAGGCGACCGCTCAGGTGCTGGATTGGTTCAGCTAAACAGTGTGATGCATATATAATTATTCATAGATAATTTTTTGTTTCAGGTTGCCCACACCACGCTTTCTGCCGATTCTGGTGGATAGAAAAACAAAGGCTGACACCTTTCATGAGAACTAGTGGCATGAAATAGCTGAGCTGCTAGCCAGGATGCCCATAATGGTTACCTCTGATCTCAGCCCTGAGTTTGTTGGGCAGCCTTTGGCAAGCTTTAATGCTTAGCCTCCACTTTCCTTCCCCACCAGCTGCAGTATGGGGATAATGCAAGGACTTCACTTAGAACAGTGGTTCTCAACTTGTGGGTCCCCAGATGTTGTACTACAACTCCCATCATCCCTGAGCTCTGGCCTTGCTAGGTAGGGGTGATGGGAGTTGTAGTCCAACAACATCTGGGGACCCACAGGTTGAGAAAGGCTGCCTTAGAAGGTTGTTCTAATGCTAAGTGCATATAATGTTACATCAAATTATTTTTATCAAAGGCTATTTCAGGTGTTTCTTGCTTTCCATGTGCCATTATTATTATTATTATTATTATTATTATTATTATTATTACCATCTACAGGAGGCCCTCTCCTGCCAAGCTCAGTGATCAATTGGGGATACAGGGATGTGATGATCTTTTAGGAATCCTGGTCCCAATGTTGGTAAACAAAGCCCTATGTGACAAGTACCTGTTACCTTGGTTCCTTCTGATTACATTGGTCACTTTTTCCCCTCAGCAGGATTCCCTGTTCCTAAAACTGAAGTGGTCCATGGCGGAGATCCTTGGATCCCAGAGCCTGTTTTGGAGGAAAAAGAGATCCCAGCAGACTACGGCTCGGGTAAGCGGAAAGATCTGGGCAAACTCTTGGGAATCAACCTAGGCTTTTGACAGGAAGAGAACGTGGAAACTCTTGCCTGTTCATAACTTTGAGAGACAAATGTGGTGCAATGGGTAGTGTTAGACGATGACTTAGAAGACCCAGGTTCACAATCTCATTCAGTCGGGATAAAATATTGGTAGAATGGGGGCCAACCATGTATACCATCGCGAACTTCTTAGAGGAAGGGTGACTCAACAGTGTGACACATCAGGGTTGGGAGTACTTGTGTGTCCCTCCAGATGTTGTCGGGACTCCATTTCCCATCAGCCCCTAGCCAACATGGCCGATGCACAGGAATGCTGGGAGTTGTAGAGACATAAACAGAGGAGCGCAAGGCCCAGCCCGTTCCAGACACCTCCAAGGTCATAACAGGAGGATCTGGACAGCTTTTCTGTGGATGGGGAAGTGTAACGTGTAGCCTGGCTCTATGTTCTTGGTGAAAGCTCTGGGATTTGGACAGGTTGGTGCCCGCTTCTGCCTGTCATGGAGCCAGCTCCTCAGCCGCCCTCCTCTCTTCTCATTCCCCGAGCAGAGCTTCCGGATGTGATAATTAAGTTGGAACAAGAAGAGGTGCCGTACGTTCCCTGCCGCCCGGTTTCGGAGGCCAGTGTGACATTCCAGGCGGCCCACTCAGGTGAGTGAACTTCAAACTATCCGTATTTTTTGCTCTATAAGACTCACTTTTTCCCTCCTAAAAAGTAAGGGGAAATGTGTGTGCGTCTTATGGAGCGAATGCAGGCTGCGTAGCTATCCCAGAAGCCAGAACATCAAGAGGGATTGCTGCTTTCACTGCGCAGTGATCCCTGTTGCTGTTCTGGCTTCTGAGATTCAGAATATTTTTTTTCTTGTTTTCCTCCTCCAAAAACTAGGTGCGTCTTGTGGTCTGGTGCGTCTTATAGAGCGAAAAATATGGTAACTTGCTATTGGGACCTTCATTAGCCTTTGCAGTTTCTCCTCACGATAGTGGCCAACCTCATAAGCAGGACTCAAAATCTCCCAGCTTCCCCTTGCTATTTGTTTCCGATATGTGAGGTGCACTTGCAGATATACTGCTTTTGAACATGAGGGTTCTGTCTTGGTATGGATAATATGACAGCAAGTGTGCCATGACTGTGGCAGAGAATGTTTCCCAAGCAGAAGGTCCCATAACAGCCACTTTCAGATATCTCAAGGGCTGTCACGTGGAAGAAGGAACAATCTTGTTTTCTCCTGCTCTGGAGGGTAGGATTTGAACCAATGGCTTCAAGTTACAAGACAGGAGATTATGACTAAACATCAGGAAAAAAATTCTGACAGTAAGAGCTGTTCATTAGTGGAACAGACTCCCTCATGAAGTGTTGTATTCTCCTTCATTGGAGGTTTTAAGCAGAGGTTGGAGGGCCATCTGCCATGGATGCTTTAGCTGAGATACCTCCATTGCAGGGGGTTGGACTAGATGACCCTCGGGGTCCCTTGCAACTCTACAGTTCTATGATTCTGTGATCAGTCTTGAACATGAGACCTTCTGCATGGGAAATGTCTGTTTGCAGTGTTTGGGAGAGTGGTTTTGTGGGGCTTGTTTGGTCCTGCTGTAAAGTCTGTCTGCAAGTTCTTTTTGACTTTGTAAAGAAAGACGTTAAAGCGCTCTGTTTACTCTGATAGGAGATGGACGCGACAGAATATTCATGGGAGAAATGCCATATTACTCAGGCTTTGGGAGAAGCTTCGGCGACAAACAAGGCCTTATCAAACACGAGAGCCAACACCCCGCAGAGAAACCGCACAAGTGTTCCTGCTGCTCTAAAAGCTTCATGAAAAGATCCAACCTTCGCACACATGAGAGAATCCACACGGGAGAAAAGCCATTTCGGTTGCTCCGAGTGCGGGAACAGCTTCAGCGACGGATCCAGCCTTATTCGGCATAAGCGGAAACACACGGGCGAGAAACCCTACAGTTGCTCAGTCTGTGGGAAACGGTTCAATCAGAGCTCCAGCCTTATCAGGCACGAGAGAAGCCACACTGAGCAGCAGACCTTACAAATGCTTAGAGTGTGGTAAAAGATTCAACCAGAGTTCGACCTTGGTCAGACATGAGAGGATCCATAGAGAACAAAAACTCTTTAAATGTCCGGATTGCGACAAAAGATTTATTCAGACTGCGAGCCTCCTTGCACATCAGAGAATCCACCGGGGCGAAAAGCCGTATAGCTGCTCTGTGTGTGACAAGGGCTTTGTTCAGAGATCAAACCTCCTCATTCACGAGATGAAACACACCGGCTTGAAACCGTTCAAATGTTCAGACTGTGGGAAAGGGTTCAATCAGAACTCGAGCCTTGTCATACACAGGAGAATCCACACCGGAGAAAAACCGTACAATTGTTCCCACTGCAGGAGACCTTTCAGCGACAAATCGAGCCTTAACAAACACGAGAGAGCCCACAGAGGGGACAAGCCGTTTAAGTGCTCCACTTGCGGGAAAAGCTTTGTCCGGAGGTCGCACCTTCTCACACACGAGAGAATCCACACGGGAGTGAAGCCGTTCAAATGTTCGGACTGCGGGAAAAGCTTCAGCAGCCGCTCGCATCTGATACGGCACGAGGGGACTCACACGGGCGAGAAGCCCTACGATTGCTCTTTCTGCGGGAAGAGCTTCAACCGGAAGTCCAACCTGACGAATCACGAGAGGACGCACACGGGAGAGAAGCCCTATCGGTGCTCCGACTGCGGGAAAAGCTTCAGCGACAGGTCGAGCCTCATCAAGCACGAGAGGATCCACACGGGAGAGAAGCCCTACAGCTGCGCGGCCTGCGAGAAAAGCTTCAGCGACAAGTCGAGCCTCATCAGGCACGAGAGGATCCACACGGAGGAGAAGCCTTATAAATGCTCGGATTGCGGGAAGGGCTTCAACCAGAGCTCGAGCCTCATCGTCCACGAGAGAACCACACGGGGGGA